ATGCCGTTAAAAACAGAGCCCTGATAACCAGTATAGACAGCTGGAATTTGTAATGCCTCAAGAAGACGAGGCATATCACCTTTTTCAAACCTGGTAAGTGAAAATAATAAATGAAAAGATTACATGCATGAACATACTGACGAAGGGTGAAACTATAAAAGCCATAGTGTACATATCAAATATATATATATATACATATATTAAATATAAATTATTATTATCAATATTACAAACAATGTGTTGAAAAGATATAGGGAGGAGACTAGGAGAGGGATTAGGGTATTAATTTCTATGCTGGGAAATAGAATAGAATAGAAGAGGAAACTACTGTACCTAAACATTTCTTCGCACTCTATTTCTGTAAAATCCAAAATGTTTGGCCTGCTATCGAGCACACGGCCTTCCCCAAACGCTACATCAACAAATAGCAAATCGAGGTCTTCTTCATCACTACTGCTGTTTGAAGAATCGCTACTATCATCGTACGACATCACTGTTACAACATCTCTAAAGCTTCTCCTAAAACCAGAGCAAATATACATTATTAAATACTTTTTATCTGAAAAGGAGAAAACAGCAATATAATCAATGTCAAATATGAAAGACGTACCTTCGCGCCGTCGCCATATTTGTTTGTTTTGCTGCCACGCTGAACTACTTCATGTAGCCTGTCATATAGTAACGGCTTGCGGTATTTTCATACACTTTAATCTTAATAACCTAAAAATACTAACCGCGAACGGCAAACGGCTGACGACAAACTGCAGTTTGCGGTTCGAAGTAAACGCAAATCTTAAGGTCTCTAATCTTTATAACCTACGTCAACTAATTGAAGAGCCGACTCGTAAATTTTCCGGCCAAATTTGACATTTTCTCCGATCAAAACTTTTTATGAGCGGACATGTAACCAACCAATTTCGGCTGGTCAAATCTCCAATCTCAAAAAATTGTTTATTTAACACATTTTTTATTAATGAAGCCAACAAGGAAGCAGCAATATAGTCTTCACTATTTCTCGCTGCATGAAGCCGCAAGTTGATTTAACTATAAATCTACATCACCTCAGTGCCGGATTAACCATATGGCACAAGCGGCATATGGCACAAGCGGACCCATATCTTTTCTTTTTGTTCCCTGTTTTACTGTTCAGCGCGGGGCCCCAAAAAGCCCAAGGTCCCCAGAGAAAACGTTATAGGCCCCCAAGATTTAAAAATCGAGGCCCCAAAGTGCGGGGGCCCAAACGATTTTTTTGTTCCCTGTTTTAGCGCGGGATCCAAACAGCGCGGGGCCCTAAAGAGTCCAAGGCCCCCAAAAGCAAAACCTTAAACTAAAAAAACCGCGAGGCCCAAAAGTTAAAAAAGGCGAGGCTCCAAAAAGCGATCGCGAGTCCAGAAAATCATAGGGTTCAGAAAATTTCTAAATTTGCAGCAAACTGTTATATTAAATTTATGCTAAAAGATCGCTGAATTTCGTGGAAGGCGGCAGAAGTTTATATGGACGCTATCATGGTTAGCTATTTTTCCCCTGTAAATAATAATGTTAATTGTGTAAACTGTGTTGAATTTCAGTTCGATCAAATTATTGATGTGTAATTCTTTCTCTTTGTGTAAATACACACACAGGGGGCAGAAAAGTACGATTGTGTTTATTTAAAATACCTTGTCATCAACCAATATATCGCATTGTTTCATCCAAGTTTCATCACGATGAAAATTATGTTGATTTTCGATAATATCATGTCTACTACTTCATGTAATTCAAACATTGTATTACAAGGACTGACCATAGTAGCGTGGGCTCATACTAGAACGATTGACTTTGCTTACACGTACAAATAATAGAAAGTGAAACCCCCGATCGCGAAATATTTCGAATGGACATAACTGGCGTGTTTCTGAACCAAAACCTTATATTTTTTGTATACAGTTTAGATATGATACACTTAGCATACCTGTACAAGGAAATTTTTAGAAACGGTTATTATACCGAAATTTTTGGGACTACAATTTTGGCTTATTTTGTTTCAACGTGCACCGCAACAGGTGGTGACGGAAGTGACGTAGTTACGCACTTAAAAGATATTGCGCATGACGAAAACTATTTTTCCAACTGATTCATATATATTACAGGCTCATACCATACAGTATTTTTATGATAACACAGTTTTCAAAATATCAAATATGGGTAATATGGCTGAAGAATTAAGGTGAGTTTAATATTTTCAAAGGATATATAAAACCATAAATATTTTAATATCCATGCGGTGATGTAGCCGAGTAGCTCCCGCAAAGGCGTTGAAGGCGCCAAAAATCAAATGGAGCTATATCAGACTGTTTAATATTAAAATCAGTGTACCTCAGTGTGTCTGTGGGTATTATTATATCTGTATAATTGATAAAATTATTAGTCAATCGTTTATATATGAATCGTTTTAGCATGTCCGTTTTTGATTTATACTATTTTCTGATAGTCACATGTTGCATGAGTCTATTCATCATATATTATTTTATACAATTAAATATTAAATGTATATTTTAATAATTTTTAAAATATTGTAGATGTATTATGCATGAGTCAATTCGAGGAGTAACCATCCCCACCCCGGGAACACACCCGGGCATTTGATTTGATTGGTTATGATAGTGTAAATGCCCGGGTGCCGGGACACAACTTGAAGACTAATGCACAGCCCTTGGGCAAGCTGAGAGTGGAAAATGCCCCACCCCGGGACGATTTTAAACGTTGATTAAACTTTTAATGGCATATAATAGCATAGTCATTTAATAACATTATAGTATTAAACTGCTATGGAATATTATAAAACTTTAATATAAACTTGAATATTGCTAAGAGTGGTTAAAAGTATTTAAACAATGAAATCATAAACCTTTAATAGTTGTATTTAAATTTGCATGGCACAGGTTATAATTTTCGCTTATTCTGACAATAAATTTCATGCCACCTTGACCACAAGGGCGCAAAATATGATCAGCGCGCCCACATGCGGGCCTGAAACTATGTTTTGCTGCCTTAAAATTTGCAGGTGGGATTCTGGGCAACCATTTGTCAAATCCCCAGGGTCCTTCAATACCCGGCCCCTGTGCACGTATATGAAAGGCAAATTCCCGACCCCTGTGAACTGTCTATCAGGCAAATTCCCGGGGGGATGGTTACTCCAGGAATTGACTCATGCATTAAAACAGCAATAAGTCATTCACTTAATGCTTTTAAAGATGTGGTACAGTCCGATCTGCGCATGTGTGCAAAGTAGCCATCTTTGTATTATACAAACAGTTTATTTAGGTTTTTATTTCATTTTATGGTCTTGCAAAGCTTAATTGTTGTACCTTGATAGTTTATTATACTCTAGTAGAATCATGAAAATATAAATACAGTAGTTGTCGAATAAAATTCAATATTTTGGATACCGACAAAGCCTTTGTTTGCATATGACTGTACTGCATCTTTAAGATATATTAAACCCTTTTTACAGACTAAGTGAGGAACAGAAAATAATCATTGACTTGGCATCAAATGGTCACAATGTTTATTTTGGAGGAATTGGTGGTTGTGGCAAAACCTATGCTGCTAATTGTATTCTTCATATTCTTCAAAAGAGAGATGTTAAATTTGTCTGCACATGTACTACAGGAATTGCTTGCACATTGTATGAGGATTTCCCTGCTCAAACTATTCATTCCTTTGCTGGAATTGGTGTATGCCGTGGCTCAAAAGAAGAAATTATACGGAACATATTATCAAATGAAGAATGTGTGAAGCGTTGGAGAGAAACCGAGGTGCTTTTTATTGATGAAATTTCTATGTTGAGTCAGAGAACATTTGAAATTCTCCAGCATGTTGCTCAAAACATTAGAGGTTCAGAGTATGTGTTCGGTGGGATCCAGACTTTGGCATTTGGAGATTTTCTTCAGTTACCTGCTGTTAATAATTATGTTGATGATGGCAACTATGCATTTGAAAGTGTTCTGTGGAATGCAACATTCCCACACCAAATAATTTTACATGAAAATTTCCGTGCCAAAGATGATGATAATCTAACAAGTCTTGTTAAAAATTTATCTGTTGGTAATTATAATGAAGAAAATGTTAATCTGATCAAAAGCCTCAGCAGACATATCAATCCAGCAGATTTAGGCCTTGAGTATGTGCCAAAACTATTTCCCTTGAATGATGACGTTGATTTTGCAAATGTCAGGCGATCAAGTTGTTTTTGAATCATATGATACTGGAGATACAAAGGTACTAAACAGAGAACTAATAGCTCCCTGCAAATTATCATTAAAAGTTGGGGCACGAGTAATGTTCATTTACAACATTAATGATGTTATAAAAAATGGTGTGTTGGGAATTGTAGTATCGTTTTCAAACGATCTTCCAGTTGTTCAAACAGACTTGGAAACATTAGTTGTGAACAGAGTCACTTGGCCAGTTTATGACAAGCACAGTTCTTCAAAGATAATAGGCACTAGAACGCAGCTCCCTTTAAAGCTAGCTTGGGCGATGACAATCCACAAGGCCCAAGGAAAGACACTTCCTGCTGTTGAAGTACATTGCAAAAACTTATTTGCCCCTGGTCATCTATATGTAGCGATCTCAAGAGTCAAGGATTTGGATAAATTATCTGTCATTGGTTTTGACCCTAGTAAGCATACAATTCCACCACCAAAGATTGTATTGAATTTCTTAAATAACATTCACAATGTCACTATGGATCGAGATTGCATGTGTTGCCATGCCAAAGTGTCAATACCATCAGATACAATAGATGTAGCAGTTAATGAGCCACTTAATGATGATGATGAATTAATTGGAGAGGAACTAGATGAAATTGATGACATTATCAGGTCATACTTTACATCAAGTCCTGAATCTAACCTCGAATCTGCCACATCTGCATCATCCAGTTCTAATAGCGATATTGTCAATATGGCTAATATAATGGATAAAATGTCAAAATCACCTGGCTTCCACAAAATTCCAAAGGATTTTAATTACTCTTCCTTCTTGTTATCACTAAAGAGTGCTGAAAATTTTGCAGAAGTTATTGGTGGTGTGCCAGATGTCAATCCAATTTATGATTATCTGTTGGGTCCCAATGTCATGTCACAAACGAAATTATTTCTTGGTGTCCAGTGGAATAGGATTTTTGAAATGGTCAGAAAATATGTTTCTGATGTCAATACAGTCGTGAAAAGAACACAATTCACTAGCCATTTTGGGGATTTACATAATTTCCTTAGTTCGAAAGAATTGGAAGCAGATTTTTCAGAACTTATTACAATCCCTGTGGATCAACTATCTGAACAGCACTTTCACGCCCTTACTGAAATCATTTTCGGTTTAAACAAGAATGTTTTGAGTGTTCTTGTTGGAGAATGTTCCTCTTCTCATGTGGACCCCACAAGGGCTGATGTAAGGCATATGAATGATGATGGTTTAGGAAAGGTTAGATATTGTGGTGCTTGGGCGGTTGCAAAGATCAAGAATTTATGCAAGATATATTTTAAGACAAATATTCATTCTACCAATGTGTCAGTCAGGATGAAAGCTAAAGAAGCATATGTTAAGGCTGAATTACTCTTACAGTTAGTATGGTCCAGTTCATTTGCTCAAGAGCACTCACATTCTAAAGGCACCCTTACTGTTACTATACTGAAGAATTACGAAAAGGGAAATCTAACCCATATTACAGATGACATGTTTGAGTGGATCCTTGACTTAGAACAAGAAAGAGTCAATTTGCTTAACAAAACAAACCTTTCTATTCATCAGGATGATCTTATCGAACATGTACTTTCTTCTATTGAGAAGAATGAGGAACTTTTTAGAAAGTGGAAAGCCCTCTTTTCAATGAACGAAATTTTGTGTTCCACGACAATTAATCTGGATGTTGTTCAGAATTTAGTTTGCGAATTGTTTAAAGATGTCATTACAAGATATGTTAAGATGGGAGTTGGGGAATTTTTACGGGAATTTCGGAGAGATTTTCAGTTACAGAAAACGGAGGCACATCGGAAAAAAGTGGTTGAGAAAAAGAAAAAGAAAGACTTAGCATCAAGCAAAGTAACATTGAAGTCTATTAGGGATGACAATTCAATGAATAAAACTAATTCACATAGGCATTTGCTAACAATGATCGAACATCAACAGACAGTATTTCAAAGTACAGTATATAGCAAGAGTGAGCTACAGTTGTTATGCAAGGCTTACGGTTTGGTTTTTAGGAAAAATGATTCAAAGTCGACACTTTCAGAAAAGTTAATCCCAGCCATACAACAGTCCCAGTCCATTCCACATCCTCTTGCTTTATGTGATTCACAACAGCAGTCTTCAACATCAACTATGGATACTGACGATTGCAGTAATCAGATTTCTTTAGAGCACTCCCATAATCAATCACAAGGTAAATGCATACACAGTGCAGTAACTGTGTGCTGAATTGTGTGTAATGTTTGCATTCCTGAAAGCAATCTTCAGTCAGTTAATATAGCATGTATGTTTAACAAAGAGTGTACTATCAGGAGTAACGTAAATCCGCCTGTTTAATTTCATCTATCTTTCCTTTCAATACCGCGTAGATCAGCTGGCAGAGCATTGGGCTAGTATTCCAAAGGTCGTAGGTTCGATTTCCACCGTGCCGGGCATATTTTTCAAGCTCGCCCGGTGTGGATATACACTCAGAGTAACATCGCAAACATTACACAGTTAATAGACTATAATAGTTAATATTAGCCATAAGTCCTAACAAAGTTTCAATATAAATAATATAATACAATTAACTATATACATTTATTAATACAGTACGTTATTGAATTAATTATAGAAGGAATCAGCCGTAGAGAAGAAGATGAAATTCCACAAATTCATGCGCCTTTGAGGAAACGATTCAAACCTTCAAAAGAAGAAGAACAAGTGCTATGCCTGGATCAACAAGATAACAAAGCAATGGAAAGAGCATACGAAAGGTCAATCCAGTTTAGAACATCTTTGAAATCTATAATCACTTGGCATGAAAAGCATCCGGTATAAGGCAAAAAAGTTGTTGGTTTCAGGCTTCAGAGCGGTCGGTTAAAAATGTCTTTGATGTGAACATTTTCTATACACGTATATATGCAAAGATTTCCCTATGCCTTTTTTACAAAAGTATTAATTAATCACTTCATTATTTTATTCTTCTTAATTATATTTGTTCAATAATCTATATGATGGCCACATTTTTCTATGGCTCTTTTGTCTGGTCAACTATTGAAGTGTTTGTATCACATACATTCCATTATTCCCTCATAAGACATACCGGTACCTAATTGAAACCTGAAACCATACAACTTTAATTTTTTAGCCTCAGTTGTGTTACTAATTGTGAATCAACTCCTTCCCACTTTCCTACTACATAATACTTATATTTACAATTACTATTTACACTACTTACTAACATAATGTAAGTTATTTAGGAGTTTTATGTTTTAACGGAACATCTCTTTTGAAAAACGCCAAGTTCTCAACTGATCCGGTATTGCTGCGATTCGTAGTTGTTGTCTGTCCAAGGATAATGCTGTTCATAGTGGGGCCATATTGTGAATATGTCGGATTCGAATTTTGTCCATTATGTCCTCTTTCTTGACAAAAAATGTTTTCAACCAAGTCACTGTTTGTACGAAATGGTGATATGGTAGAACCAGGAAATCGTATGAATGCAATTTTGCATATTTCGTAGAAACCAATAATCATCGATGCTAGATCAAATCGAAGTTTATGAGACAGAAGTCGTTTCCCTTGTTCGCATTTCTTAAGTTCCACGTGTTCGGCAGCATCCGTTTCCCATCTCTTCAGATAATCTAGCACTTCTTGATTTTGGGCCAGGCGATGGTCAGCTAAACTACTAACAGGTCTCTTGTCTGAAAAAGTCTGGATAATCTTGCTCGTCATGGTCAAAAACTCAATGGTTCTATCCAGGTAGTCTGCATTATTACCTGTAGTCTGCTGAATATACTTCTTGTATGCCTATAGTGTAAACCAAAAAATTAAATTAAACCACTTGTGTTACATGTATACACGATGTCGATGTATTTACAAAAGATCTATATATATATACCTCTCATGAAATTTACTCCAATGCACCTGTTCGGTTAAAATCTTTTTACCGCGAAATTGATGTTCCAAAATTGTGAAAGAATTTTATATGGCAGAATAATTTGAAGGGGCCGGCATTTCATAAAGTTTACATGCATTTATTGCACTTTCCGTCGTATTATATTTTAGATAAATAAACACATTTCTGATACTTAATAATGTGCATTTATGTAACGGTGATACAACTGTATAATATACCTTCATCAAATTAAGCATGTTCATTGATAAAACATCTTCAGCCAAGTGATTCCTCATTCTAGTGGCATAGCCAAGATTGAAGTGTACTTCGGTAAGTCGCTCGTGGAGCTTTAGTGAATTTGTTGACTGATCCCATCGATAAGCTGCATATAGGTGACTCCATTCTATGGTATTATTGCCATAACTAAGCAATCTTACTCCATTAGGTCTACTTTTCTCCAGGTTATTTCGCAACTTTTTGATGTTATGCTACAATTATAATTGTAATTGAAATTAGTTGTTTGAAATTGTTATTCATTTCACTGGATAACCCAAAAACTCGTATACACAGTGATGTTGCACGACTGAATATTTCCAATAAAAATCCATATGGTAATCCCGCAAAAATATTTGAGAAATGTATAATAAGGGGCTGTTTATATGGGACGAGCCAGCTCGGGTACCCGACCTGGTCCGGTTTATGCGAGATCCCACCTTATTCCGTTATTATTTCCAATTAAATTTTATCTTGCGTTTTTATGGGGACCGAGCTGGCCGGTCTAGGGAAAGCAAGCTAGCCTGGATAACAGGGATAGCTCGCATCCATATAAACAGCCCCTAAGTTGGTGTAGAGAATTTGACCAGTGTATTGGTTGGCAAATTAAAGCTGAAGCTTGCAATTTCGATTGTTGAAGTTCTATACAGCTATTTCAATTACGGTTGTCAGCGACAATATTCAAATGTACATTACGAGCGCGAAAGAATGATAGGAATAATCATAATCAGCATATTGAAAAATATGAATTTCTATCATTCTTTCGCGCTCATGCAGTACATTTGATCATAGCAGCTGACAACCTTAGTTGAAATAGCAGCTCTATATCAACTTACAGATGGGTCTAGCATAAAAACCATTGGCTTCCTGGTATAGGGATTTATGGTAGTAAATCGTGCAGCTTCTGGATCTTTCCCATGAAAATGCATCTTAACGAAATTCCTGTTGGCTTCTCCTCCATCGAAACAGGAATAATTTGCTTGGAAACCAAATCTTCTTAACCATCCAACAGCTTTCCAGAAATTCGTGTATATTGTAGCAGAGTCGGCTTCTGTTGTTGGGAAGTGTGCGAACGGAAAACGAAAACCGTTGTTTCCGAGAAACACAAATTGGAGGACGTGTGTCGCAACCTCTACGGTTTCGTCTCCTTTAATATAAATATTCATATATTAATTTATTAGATTTTAAGTTAAATTGCCACATATGACATGATTCCATTATACATTTATTAGGCCTAGTAAATAGCTTTTAATATATATATACAAGTGCAGTATCCATAGAGCATTACTGCATTAGTATAGGCTATATATAAAAAACATTTTTATCGGACATCAATAAGCCAATATGTATATGTAAGTACCTTAAAACTCAGAGGAACTGCATTAATCTTCAATTAGTGTAAAAAATATTTTATCGTAAAAATTCTTATTTAGCACAACATGTATAGCTTGCAACATGTGTGCACTGCATGCATATTTTTAATACGTTACTTGTGTCTATATTCCCGTCATTCTTTCGCGTTCATATGATTATTTTGTATTATTGACTATTGTATTATTTATTTTAACGTGACGTCAATATCGGCACATGGTGGTCAACTTAAAGGAAACACTGAGTGGTTTATTTGTTCAATATTATTAATTTGTAACTTTTTATATGTATTTTATCAAATGACTTGCTTATATATACTTTATTTTATGTAATTGTGTTTGGTGGCAAATACATACACTTTAGCATAATTTGCTCTCTCCCTAAGTCATAAGCGTCGATACAAGTAAAGTTGACTACCGTGTATGTGTATAACGCCTACGTGAAAGCCAATACTGACCTTTAATAATAGCTTGCATGCTGCGGTTTTCTTCACCCAAGGACACAATGCCTACAAGTTTCCATTTACCATGGTTAGATTTCATTTGCAAATCTTCCTATAAAATATATGAGATTCAGATATAAATATAAAAGTGTGTATAAAAAAAGGAGACATTATTTTTAGAAATTAATCTGTTGTGACCACATAGTAATAGAAATGAGTTTTTAATATTTTATTATGTTATACCGACATTCAACGATAAATAACAACTATACGTAACAAATAATTTTGGCCTGCAATGAAAAAGTATCCGTACCGTAATTATCGAAAAGGTGTATATATAATCAAAATCAAAATGTACATGTAGACCGTACTATATATTGTACAAGTGAAGACATAAGCTGCATAATTTACCAGATTGCTTCGTCAAATGACAATTCACTAACCTGTATAGACATTTCATCTAGAATTATGCCTCCCTCACGTCCGGCGGGTCCTATATTTTTCTTATCAGCCTCTTGTGTCATCCATTTACCTACTGATTCATTGAGGCCAGGATTTTGTGTACATGAGTTTTTGTACATTTGTAACAGTCTCCCAGAAGGCAATCGAAGCATTCCACTTTCGCCCAATTCTCTGTATGCCTCAGGACTTCTGTTCCATATAGACAAACATAGTCTTATAATCCTGTCAAACGAAAAAAAACCCGTCAATATTGATGCAAGCGATTGAAGCGAATGTACGTCTATTACTATTTTATTTTCAATACTATCATAATATTAATTACTCAAGCTGAAGAAGAAGGATGATTTTCGACGTGTCTCGTAACTAAATAAGTGTGTGATACTCGAGTCCCGAATGCGAGAATAGGAATTGTTGATATGCTTATCGTTTTTGTGTTACTGCTATGGATACTTTGAGAAGGAAAATCTGTTGCATCACAAGGGTTAATACAACGATTTGTACACACAGCAGCAAGAAAATGGACAGTTTTGTCGTTTTTGGATTTTGTAATCAATAAAATCAACTTTGTCGTCTTCGGACATGAAGCCTGTTTATATATATCATTCGTAAATATATCAATGACTGTCTCAGCGAAATTGTATATTTATAAACAACTTACTTTGGGTGCCACCTATTGCCTTTCTGATTCATTTGTGCCAGCGCTTTTTCTTGCGATTCAAAGAATATTTTCATGTCGTCACTTAAAGAATCTTTTTTGACTTTTTGGAACATGAAAAGGATGTCCTCGTGATCTTCATCTTCGAATGTTTTCATTTCTTTTCCAATTTTGTTTTGCAAATATTTTGTTCTTCTTTCTGCACTTCTTCTGCGAGCCTGCTCTCGTCGTATTTTCTCTTTCAATTCCGCTTCCGACATGTAACTCTCTCTCTTCAATTCTGTAAATTCATTACTTTGTGGTAGGACTGAATAATTTCTTTTTAGCAAAGTGCAGTGGTCACACAACGCTTGTGAACTTCGCTTGTAGTTAGCTTGATGTAAACCATTACATGCAGTAGAGCGGTGGAATAAAACGAATCGGTCGCCTTCTTCGACAGCCCCATTGCCATTGGCAGGAATATGCCATTGTTCAGTTATTCCATTTACATTTCCTTTGATATCTCTGGTGATAATTTTTGAATCCACAGGAAAACCTTTGCATATATCGAAGTCATCTAGCACACGAAACAGATAAATAAGCATTTTGCGAGAAGGCCCCATTTCTTGTATACAAATGGTTTCTTTCTCAATTGCACGATTATTCACTCGCACTACAAAAGTCCAATCCTTAAAGATTTTAACTTCTTTTAGTACCCTGTTGCCGTTGCACAAATCTTGGGACGGAATCTTTATCCACTCAACAAAATTATCATTTCTATTCGACAAATGCCAACCAAAATCTAATGTTAAATTTCCAAGATTTTCCCATTCGATGCGATCGGACTCTATATCAACTATTTTGCCAACTCTTGACAAAGGATAATGCCATACCCTCTTTCCGTTGACCCGCTTTTGTGTTCTGACTGCCGAGGGAAATACCTGGTTTATAATCATTCCAAGCTCACTTGCAGTTAGGTTGACATTTTCCTTATCTGGGCAGCTATTTTGAAAACTTTCAAATATGGACACTGTTGCGATAAACGAATTGTCACTTATTTGGTAATTCATAAAAAGCCTACAAAATACAAGCCAAATTGCACCGGTGTTGCTACAAATAGGTCTATATTAACAGAATTAACGAAACCGTTTCAGATTTTATTTAAATGTATTGCCATTTTTTTCCGTCCCAGAAGTATAGTTTATTTTTTAATTTAAATAGTCTATTGATATATCGTAAGTCTGCACACACGCCGAAAACGAGTTTAAATCGTGACCGGTTTGTGTAAAGACTGCCGTTTGGAGTACAGTCATGGACAAAGTCATGAATATATTCACGGTTGATCGTTTCAAGAATAACTGTTTTAAATTAGTGAAAAGCTTACCATCTAGATACAATAGCGTGTGTTGCTTTGCAAGAAAATTTAGCTTTTTTGGAAACGAATTCTTCCGGGTGATTCGCATTTCGTTTAGTAAGGAAACGTTCCATATTTGATTTTGAATTTCGCAGTATTTTTTAAAAAATGTGTTAATTGTTATTTAAATATTACTGTAACCGTTAATTCGATTAAAAGGTCATGGAAGGTGAAAGGTCAATTTTCCTTCAACTTCCGTTCTACTTCCGGTTACAATGTCGAATTTACTTCCGTCACCAGTTGTTGCGGTGCACATTGAACGAAAGATTTTCGGCGTTTCATCCCTTTCTTATTTATGTACGGGTTACACCCTCGGCATCCTTTCGTAAGATGTTCGGAAATTGTCGTTGCAATGCAATATGTTTGAATTACATGAAGTAGAAGGCATGATATTATCGAAAAATAAAAATCAGCTAATATAAATATGGGATATTGGTTGATGACAAGGTATTTATAAAACACAATTGTACTTTTCTGCCCCCTGTGTCAATCTTGTTTTGCATAACTATTAATCTGCATGTGTTAATATATTCCACTCTATTGTCCATATACTGTATAGTCGTTATATTCCCCAGCAGGCTGCCCAATTTACTGTTCTAGAACATTTGGAACATTTAATAGTTTTGTTTGTGGAAACACCACGTAAATTTATTACTGCATAAAAAATAGATAAGTATAGGTTATTTTGAGGCAACGAGGGGATATAACTCAAAATAACGTACTTATTCACACTGCGAGGTCGCGTTAATGAGTCAGAAAAGAAATAATTCTCAATGCCATATTTTCTCATTTTTTGTGCTGCAACGACATTGCAGGTGAATATTAGAGGGGATTATTAATTGCAGGTGAATATTAGAGGGGATTATTAAACGGAAATTGATTAGAGGGGAATATTGAATATATTCCCCGACAAGAACAAAGGAAACCGAGCAGGGTGAAAAATAAGAAATGATACTACGATATGAAATGGATATAGTACGATATGAAATGGAGTGCACACGGTGTTCTGGAACAGTGTTTAGTTTATTAATATATATGTGTGCAACCATGCATTATATATACAAATAACAGCAAATCATTATACGCTTTATTATGCGAATAACTAATGATAGTTATTTGTATATATAAGTATGCTTTTGCAATGTTTTTACTCGTTGATTTTGTCCAACACTGGCGTTCAAATAGCATATGATAAGTATATGTCGAAATATAGCGGTTAACCCTTAAAAATAACGCTCTATATGCCTGTCTATGCAGTGTGCATTGGATTACACAAAATATGTCGCCTCCATTTCCGATCACGTGAAAATAGGCAGTGTCACGTGTCTGTTCTGGCTGCCCCTACTCGAAAATCGGGGTAGTCAGAACAGTTCAGAACAGTCATGTGACTCTCTTCTGTTCCATTCCATTAGTGTTCCGAAAATCCGGAGTACTCCGAACAGTAAATGGAGCAGGTATCACTGCAGCCTGCAGGTATCACAAAAATATTGTTATGCATTATGTTTCGTGTGCACTAATGGGCGGTATGTGTGCTCGATCCCTCGGGGCAAAGAACATGAATGAATGAATGAGACTTTATTTACCAACGGTGAAAACTCATCAGGATTTACACATATACATGTATACAAGTTACGAAATTACACACAGTTCAAAATATTACCCACGCTAAAAATTACAAAAGAATATTAATATAAAACACTTAACACTGCATGCTTGTCATTAGTGTCGTGTAATAAAAAGTTGAGTATTGAAATAGCTACTGATACTGCCCTTCAATACAATAAAGCGACTGCTACGCAGGCTACAACTCGATTGGAAGGCTGTTCCATTTTTTTGCGGTTGATACAGGGCCTATAGTTATAGGAACAGCTAGCTTGCCCTCAAAGCGAATTTTGGCCATCTTCGATGAACACTAACATCGCCATTAAGCAAAATCTTTTAAGTCTGCGCTATTCACCACTATTAAGTCTGCGTCAGAGACGCTCGTGGGCACCACAGGTGGTATCTGTCGTATTACCCTTCTCCGCAATCTCGTACCCAGAGCCATCGTTCTGGGTACGAGATTGCTTTCTCCGTA